CCTTTTTTTTTTTGTTAGATATAAATTATATTTTATTTTTCTGTACTTTTGGTGTGATATTGGGTGTAATCTTCGTGCAAACCAATATATAATAAATTAATTAGCAATGCACTTTTATACAAATTAGTGAATTACTAACTAAACTAGTTAATTATATGTTAATTGTAAAAATTAAAAAACCTAACTAGGCAAAAACCTAATTAGCAATTAAATTACTTTTTGTTGTCCCAAAAAGTTGCTACAACACAACAAAAAACCACTTCATTATTATTAGTATTTGTAAAACCTAACTATGCTTAAATTTAAATAAATAGATAACTATCTAATGGGCCTAAAACAGTAATTAAGCTGCTCGAGCAGTGTCCTTTACGAGACCATAGCGCAGCCAATAAAATAAAATGAGTCAATGTGTTGTGAAAGGTTTAGCAGACTTTAATTAATAATTATGTGGTTCCAAAAGTGATTTAATTTGGTTTAATTAATCAAAACATATATATCTTTATATTGTTGTCAAATCACTCTAAACAGTTAAATAAAATTAATTGGGCCGGGATACAGGCCGATCGACCCGCCCCTATTTTCCGGGTCTGACATAATCATAAAAGCATTAATCGCACAACTAAAAATAATGTTTTTATTTTTCGCATGTCATCTCTTTGGGTATACAAAATTTTGCTTTTGCACAACTCTAATTAAATTACGCGAAATTAGTTTTAGTATAACTTGTCTTAATTTCTTTGTTCCTTTCTTTCCCTTTTCTTTTATATCATATAAAGAGTATATACTATAGGATAAACTATTTGTTAGCAAATTGGTGGTAAATTAGTGGATTAATGAGAATACTAACCTATCAAATTCATTAATTAATTTTTTCATATAATTTCTGTCACTTTTGTTTTCTCACACAACTATATTTTATTTTATTAATGCCCGCCAAAATTATTGCACATCTATTAGTATAATGTTCTTTGTTTGGCAAAAAATAAATGAGAATAAGTAATCAATTAGCACCTTAATTTTAACCTAAAATTTATTTATCCGTGACTAATCAATTTTACAGTATTTTTGTAATATTTTTGACATATATTTGTATACATTTTTTTTTTCTTTTATTATTATTGATTTCACATGTAAATCATATGTTACTACTATTAGGAAATTCAGTTTTCTTATTTTCAACTTAATTGTTGCACCTATTTTAATGTCAATTTCTTAATTTGGCAAAACAAATAATCTCATTTGGCACCATAATTAATTTAATGTCAATGAAATTTGGGCTATAACGTTTAAAAAAAATACTTTATTTTTTATTCACAAATTTCATTTTCTTCATTTCGCTATGTATATATATATATATATATATATATATTTGTTAGACAAAAAATTTATGACAGTTGTTAAGTTTTATATATATCGTTCATTTTACTACTGATAAACTATAAAAAGTGATATGCTCATTATCTAACTTATAATTTTAAAATATTAAATTCATACACATACAACATGTAAAATTTTAATTATATTTGTGCATGTGCATATGATCGAATACTAGTAGAGAATAAAGACAATACAACGTAATAAATATAAATTTTGGTTATTTGCGAAACACTTATTTAACATTTGAATATGTTAGTCAAGTCAGTTAATACTTAATAGTTAATACTTATCTGATATTTGTTAATCTATATGCTATCAACTATATTACCAAATAAGACCATGATGTAGACATATAATAATTAGAAAAGCTAGCCTTAGTCCCTCATGGGATATGGTTTTATAATGCATGAATTGCACTTAGATTTATCTGAAGATTGCATGCCGACCCACGTAATACTCATAATCAATCCTCTCATATTTATTATGATGATATAGCTTGACTCGTTAGCATAATTATTAAAACCCCATGCCATTAATGATCTCTTAATATGGGTTAATTTTTAATTTTACACTTACTATATTATTATACATATCATTTTTTTTTTTAACTTGAAGATGCCTAGCTAGACATATAGTAGCATGTTAATTAAACTAGTGTAGTCTAGGTTAATCTCTTTTGGACCATGCTATTTTCTTTTCATCTTTCCATAATACTTTACTAGCTCACGCCTTTTGATCATGGCCATGAAGTCCATAATATGTACTTTAGACATCAAGAATCTAGTTTTATGTGTAAACTGAAATTAAAATTAATCGTGATTTAAGTGGTGGTTTACAAAGATTAATAATAGGTCTAACAATGAGGCCATGCAATGGTCAAGGAAAAGAAGGGATTGAACCAGAGGTGTAAATATGTCGAGCTGAGCTCAAATAATTAAAGAATCGAACTCAGTTCGACTTATAACTAAACGAGTCAGTTGTAAGAAACGGGGAAAACAGGTGCGGTCCCATGCACGTACGTGAAGCGCACCGTAGCAAGGTGAGCCTTGATGAAGTCCAAGTGAGATTCCATTTCAAAACCAATTATTGGAAGGAAGAGTAGCCCACTAGGCTTATAAGTTAGACCTATTTTTCCTATATAAATGATGTGGGACAACTCATAAGTAGTATATATTCTAACAATAATGCTAAGGAGCCAACAGAGCCAACAGCCAATGGGACAGCCCCACATCTCCATGTGGGGCTGTCCCACATTGGAGCCATGTGGGACAGTCCCACATGGAGCTGTCCCATTGGTTGTTGGCTCCATAATGGAGCCAACAGTTGGCTTTTTAGCATTACTGTATATTCTAATATCTGTAATGGAGTTCGACTCGTTTATATATATCATTATTAACGAGTCAATATATAGAAAAATCTATTTTCAAGCTTTAATGAACGAAGCTGAGCCCCGCTCGTCAGTGTATCGAGCTTTAAAATTAGCTCGAGATCGACTAATTTATTAAACAAACTGAGCCGAGCTCAAGAACGACTACCAACTCTAAATTGACACAATTACCCACGAGGAAAAAAATGTTGCATACATTTTTTTTTTAAAAAAAAGTTTATTATTGTATGTGGGTGATGTGTAGTGGCCTAGTTGTGGAGAAAAAAAAAAGTATCAAAACAATGAATTCCATATAAATTAAATTCTGTTTTGTTGTTGGATAATTTATTTTTTCATTCAAATCGTGATTGGACTATATTATCTCAAAAGGAGAATTTATATAATTATTTTGTTTTCTAAATGAATTAAGATCCCGAATATTTTCTTGCGAGTATATACTCA